GGTTTGAGGAAGCGTTTTGAGAGAGGTTTGAGAGACGTCCGTCGGAGCGGAGCGAAAGCTTTGGTGGTGTCTTGAGGTCAATTGAACCAGCTGCGGTCGGCAAGCATTCACAGTGACCAGACCAGGTGCACCGTTAGAATAGCTGTAGAGTCGCTCAATCCCGAGGATAGGGAAAGTCACAAGAGAGCAGAGCACACAGGAGAGCAAGGGGAAGACAGAATGGCAGAGGGCTTGACGTACCTGCGGTCGGCAAGCATTCACAGTGACCAGACCAGGTGCACCGTTAGAATAGCTGTAGAGTCGCTCAATCCCGAGGATAGGGAAAGTGCAACTCGTGCCCGACCGCAGGTGTCACAACAAAGGGAAACAACAGTAGCCACAAGCTTATTGCCCCAGGGCAGCTGCCCAGGCATCGTGGGGACCGCGTCACACGCGGTGTTTACTCATGTGACTGCCACGAGGAGGATCAAGCCCAGGGGGTCCAAAAGTAGGTGTCAATGTGTGAGGTCGTCGTAGCTATGGAATACCAATAGGAAGACCCATAGCGACCGATGCTGAGTGTGTGCGAAAGCAGTGGGAGTGTTCAAATGCGTGGAAGCACGGATTTGACGCTAACAGCTACCCACGCACTCATTCACGATACAACCAAGAAGAATTGGTAAAGAAAAAGAAAAAACTGGCCAAGGTATGAGCAAAAAGGAAGCGAAGGTATCCGGATTGATCGCCCCTTGTCACCATCGCAATTCGACTGGATGAGAGGGGGTAAACCGAGGCGACCGGCGGCCTCACGCGTCCAACAAGCGATAGGATATGTCGAGATATCAACCTCAAACTGCTCAGGACAGAAGAAAAGGGACTGAAGCACAAGGTGCACCGAGGCTAAGTTTAGCTCCAGGACGAGAGACCGTTGTCATGGTTTTTATGACAACATGGGATGTCAATCAAGCTTCGAAGGACTCGCTATCTCGATTCTCAAGCAACAAACCTTAGGACAACAAAGCACGAAAGGTGGCTCAAGTCAAACAAACAAGCAAAACAACATGCAACAAAACAATGCTTCCAAGGCGATAAAATGAACAGGCGCTTAGAGTGGTGGTAAATAAGGTGTCGAGGTTGCGACGCAGGCTACAAAGGCTCGACAAAGCCAAACCCGTTTATGCTAGCACACGGTGGCCCGTTGCGCAGCCAAGAGCTCGCGAGTCTTGTGTGGCGGCAGAGCACTGGGAGCGCCATTCTCAGTCTTGCGCTGGGGGGCTGGGTTCAAGAGCTCGCGCGAATTGGGCGCACCTCGAGCCAGGGTAGAAGGACCGCGAGGCGGATCGGCAGATCGCACAGAATGCATGGAGCGAGCAGAGCTGATCGAGGTCGACCGTCTAATGCAAAACAGACCGAGCCAAACCGGCACCGGATGTGACGCATGTCAAAGCCGTGGCCCAGGAGATGGAGGGAGGTGAGTCATTATCAAGCGAGAGGCAGGCGATTCAAGACAGCATGGTCAACAAGGGACAACACGTACGATTCTTGTTCATGGGAGCCACGGTCAACGGTAATACGTCCAGCGTACTGGATGGCCGCGAGCGACATGGCATTCATCCACTGCTTCATGCTCTCTGCAGTTTCGGCACACAAATAGTATGCACGCGTGTCCTCGCGTCCGACCTACAAGGTAGCCGATTGAGCACTCAGTAACACAATGCCAAGCAAGCCCAGACGAGAGCGATGACTGACCTTGAAGCCGAATCGATTGTGCATACGCTTGCTGGGCGGAGGTGGCATAACCATGTAGCCAGGCAGCGCAAAGGAGCCCAGAGCCTTTGTTTAATCGAAAGAGGATGGTCAGTGCGGAACGGGGAGGTCAGTGATCAAGGTCAATGCCACAGGGATTTACAAGACAGCACCCCCCACAACAGAGTTCAAAGCCGATGAAGAAACCAAGCCAGCGCAACACCGCACCGTATCATCATAAGGCTGCTTGTAATACAGGACCACGCCTTGCTTGAGGACAAACCTGACGTGGAACACACCCCACGCAATCAAGAGGTAAGATCAGTCGAGCGAAGAAGCAATGACATGCACGACACCAGCCCATAGATCAAGGGCTGACAGCAGAGCAAACCGCAGCGAAATCGACACGTACCAGCGTTTGCGCCAATTGCGAGGCGTCAACCCGCTGCCACCTTGCTTGATGAGCCAGCCTGCTACCTCTGGGTCCTCGATCATGGCACATGGAATGTTCAGCTCCGAACCATCCAAAATGATATCGTCACCCTCTAAGGTTCGAAGCAAGACACGGGCACCCATGTCAGCAACAGCAGGCGCAAGAAACAGTGCCAGTCGAACGAATGGTGGCCATGGCGATGACAGCTAAAGCAAGGAGGCAAGAGTCGGACCTCGACGCCCGATCTGCTGGCTTTGTTGCTGAAACGAAATAGTGCGGGTAATGGCTACTCGGGAAGATCGGTGGCTGAAGTGCGTCGAAGAGGCAACTGATGTGGCGCTATTCGAACGAACAAGCAGATTCTAAATCGAACACAGGTGGGGAAGAAGTGAATAGAGCAGAGACAGAGACAGAACAGAGAGGCACAGAGAGAGAGAGAGAGAGAGGCACAGAGAGGCACAGAGAGAGAGAGAGAGAGAGGCACAGAGAGGCACAGAGAGAGAGAGAGAGAGAGAGAGAGAGAGAGAGAGAGAGAGAGAGAGAGAGAGAGAGAGAGAGAGAGAGAGAGAGAGAGAGAGAGAGAGAGAGAGAGAGAGCAAAGCTAACCCGCGTAGAACGCCGCCCCAGACTCCAGCGACTAGCATTGTTGAGAGCTTGCTGACAGTCCTCCTACGCGGCACGGTAGGCGTGTGCGTCACGGGATGGTACACAAGGGTGTCGTGCGCCAAACAAGCCAATGACAGACCGCTGAGAGCAAGGAGTTGTTTTGGGCCGCCAGGAGCTGAGCGGTATACTCGCTAAAGACGGCAGCATCTTGCGTGACGATCAGCATCAGCTAGCGCGGCAATCGCGGACGGTCAGCTCTTTGCAGGTTGACAGACCGTTTGTCGCAGTCTCAGGCCAGGGAATGCGGTCAGAGCGCAAAAAGAGGATCGACGGAAGCAGGTACCTGATAAACCGTCGATAGTTCGAGGAAGCGCATGGCCTCACTTCCAGATGCACCGCTGCATGCCTGGCCATTGATTTGCACCACGCACACACCAGGAACTAGGTGGCGACTCGATGCAGCTGCGCAGTCTTTCGCCACCGAGCCGAGCGTCACCACGCTGTCCTGGGCACGAAGAGCCAGACCAAAGGTTTCAATGCCCTGCTCAGCTGGGATCGGGTCTAGAGTCACCTTGCGACAAACCAATTTCTCCTTGTACTCGTGATGCAGAACGTTGAAACGTTCCAAGTAGTCCTATCAGGTAGCATGTCAGCCTAGACATTTGGCACGGAAAAACCAAACAACCAAGAGTACCCTCCTGGCTCGAAATACGGAAACGTGCCTTGTAGCCATGAACATTGGGTATAGCGACAATGGTGACCTCTGGACCAGCCATAAGTAGACGGTTGGCAAGGGCCAATTGCGACCAGCCCACTACAGAGTCGCCATCCACCTAAAACGTGCAGGCGCCAGAAACAACAATCAAACACGGAAAAGAAGCAAAACAAACCCAGGATCAGTGCGATGATCGTGGGGCAAACTGTCGTTTCCAGAGAGGCAAAAAGCGAGAGCACGTACAGAAACAATTTGATCCCCAATGGTTAGGGTGCCGTGACGATGTGCAGGACCGTTGATTTCAATGTCGCTGACAAAAGCTCCGTCCAACTCGAAGCCAAATGAGCCCTGTGGGCCACGGGTCAAAGTGACGCAGTGGGGTTTGGGGTAGTGGGCCAGGGGTTTAATGCGGTTTGCCTTTCCCAAGACCTTGAACTTGCCTGTATCAGGATTGCGCAGGGCAACGGGCCGCGAGCGCGATGAGAAGGGGAATGAACCCAAATACAAGCCATTTGGTTGCAACAGCGCAGCCCGGCCAAAAGACTCACTGCTCATGGAGAGAAACTCTGAGCCCGATGGTGCAGCCAAGGCCAGAAGAATTTGATAGTCAGTACCCTGGTGATATTCGCGATTGAATGGCATTCACCAAGGTAAAATAGGATTGGCATGAGGCTGATGGCTGGCGGACGCAAAAGCGCGTGGTTGACTTCATGCATGTGCCCTGCGCGCACCTCGCGTAGGCTGGAGCCGAGCTGCCACTCGAACAGGCCGGTGTTGGGCACGTTGTCGGCAATGACTTCGGCATGATCGTTTTGCTTGGACATGAGTCGTATTCTGAGCTGGCCTTGCTGAAGGATGGAGCTGTCCCACTTTTGAGGACGGAATATCCAGGAACACCGAGTGGCAGAAGCGAGGCACAAGCATCAGTGCAAATTTGATCACAGGAGCAGAACAAAAACCACAGCCGCTACTGCTGAGTGCGCGAGGGTGTATTGGTATAAGGCACGGTTGCTGGATTGCCACGATCAGGACGACAGACCTTGATGTGGTAGAGGGCACCTTGTTCAATAACGTCGCCTTGGGCCGGAGCAAGCACCTGGACGGGTGGAGCAGTACTCAACGGCTGAAGTGCACGGCACGACAGGCGTGAGTTGGCGAGGCTAGAGTCATACTGGCAAGAATAGTAGTGTGGGCGAGGGGGAAAGTGGCAAGGAAAAAGTACAGCAATGAGTTACCTCAGGAGAGACGGACACCGGCTGAGCCTCTTCTTCTTGGACGGCAATCTGTGGGATGTGGGCGTTGGAAGCACGCGACGACAGGCTGCGCTGGCCATGGCTGGAGGTGCGTGTGCGCTGCGAATGGACCGAACCAATGGAACTTCGGATCGCGCGCGCTTGATCCATAAGGGCGGCGATGCGCGAGTCATACTCCACCGCGGTCATGCGCACCACAAAAGTCAAAGGGGTAGAGCACTGCTTGAGAAGAGCAGCCACTGAACGGGTACGCCAGCCCACGATATTCTGGTCATTAATCTGGAGAATTTCGTCGCCGACACGTAGCATACCACTGCGCTCGGCTGGTTTGTTGGGGGCTATGCCGCTGAGAAAGATGAGACCATTTCGACCAGCTTTAATGGAGAGGCCAACCGAAGTGTCCGCAGGAACATGAACGTTGACGCTTTGGAGCATTTCTAGAGCCTCACCCGTCACCGGCCCATACTGATCATTGTGCATGGTGCGAAGTTTTTGCAGAAAGGGAAGCAGCTACAAGCGTTCAAGTTACAGTGCAAATAACACAAGGTGGGAGGGTTAGAAGCGGAGAGCGCAATGAAACGCCGCCGTGCCCGAAATGGGCCGGTGGGTGCCCTTATTTTTGTCAAAACAACTAGGTCAGGTCTTTCCTCGTTGGATGGGACCGCCTCGCGATTTGACGGGAAACAAAAAACAAAACAAAAAAAAAAAAAAAAAGCTGGTGGGGGCTGGTAGCATGTTGAGGGAGGCAAGCGGATTGAAGAGGTGGGACAAACCTGGCGCACAAAGTTTTTACAGGCTTGAACAAACTCTGTGTTGCGGGCGGAGGTGTCCTTGGTAGCGTTGACACTTTGGAGAAAGTTTTTGGTGCAATGGAGAAGACCACTGCGAGTTTCAGTGTACGCGGCCACGGGTTCGAGTGGGGCTTCATCCAAATTGGCAATGGAAGCTGTCAGGGCGGTCACCATGGTTCGCACCGCTTCAAGTGGGCTGCCGTGCGAGAGAGACGAGGATAGGGGATGAAGTTGCAAAGGAGCTGAGCAGAGGCAAACGCTGGCTTGGCACCAGAATGGCAAATCTGACCTGAGATCGATAGTGCGGCCTGCTTGAAGCAGCTTGGCGCCCAGGATGCCAATTTCAGAATTGCTCAGAGTGGTGGGCTACGTGGTGCAACGGTTGGAATAGTGAGGGGGATCGGGAGCGACGGCCTGAGGGTAGGGTGGCGGGTTGGTGGCGGTTTTTGTCTGCGTTGCAAGGCAAAGGAAGAAAGCGCACCAATTCTTGCAGGGCCTTGGTAGCAGTCAAAACGCTGCACTGCTGTCCAACCAGTGTGATCTGCAAGCGCAAGCCATCGGTCCGGGTGGAACAGGGCCGATCAGAGGCTGAGGGAATGAAACGTGTGGGAGGAGGGGGGGCACGGCAGGGCATACGCCTAGGTTGGCGAGGTCATCGGCTGTCATGGCCAAGAGGTGTGGGCCATCAACTTCATGAATGATAAAGTCCTCGAGAACGGGCTTGTCCACCTTGTCTACACCTGATGCAGGCGCAGGGGTGCAAGCGTGTCCGTCATGAAGGGACTGAAGCTGTGGGACGAGCATTGGATGCGTTGGATAGCTTCTCCAAGTCAGAGCCCTGCACTGATTTACAAACCTCTGAGCCAGACGGCGACATCATGAGCAGACCAGAGGCGCGGGTCTTTCCAGGCATATCTGTCGCGCTGCAGGGCCAGGCCTGGGGTGTGGTGCAGGGCAAGGGCAGGCGAAGCCGTGTTGTGTGTTTGAGAGCACCACCAAGGGGGGTAGCTAGCATGTACTTCAAGGTTGCAAGAGACTGCTCAAGCATCGAGAACATACGTGAGCGAGGTTTGAAGCGCTCGTCCATGCTGCCGGGGGGTGGAGTCGCAGGCGGCATGCTTGGGCGACTGGTCGGCGACAGGTTGGGAAACAGCGGCGACGGCGATGGCAGCGTGGGGGGGGGGGGGGGGGGGGG